GACAAAAAAAAAAAAAAAAACCCCACCCAAACCGATCAACCCCACCCACCCTTTTATTTCCCTCTGGGTAGGAATTGGAAGGAAAATAGCTCACCATTTCAAGGATGGGAAATGTAACTGATAAAAAGGAGGAGTTCGCTGAATTTTTAGGTAAATTCAGACTTGGGACACTTTATATTTTTTTGGTTAATTTAAGTAACAAAAGGAAAAAACACACAAAAAAAACCAACAACAACAAAAAAAAAAAAGCCACAAACCTTTTTTGTAACTGCACTTGATTTACGAGAAAGATGAGGGAAATGAACATCTACCAAAGATGATCTCTAAAAAAAAAATAATAATAATAATAATAAAAAAAAAAGGTGTAACTCCTAAAAAACAATCAGTGTGAGAAGTGACAGAGGCATTGACCAACCTCAACTCACGATGTGCTCGGACCTGGGGTGATTTCAATTGGCCAGCTCTGAAGATCGAAAGAAAGATTAAAAGAAAAGAAAAAAAAACATTAAAAAAAGGCATTTTTATACCTTTAGGATAAGATTTTTGGTCGTTCCCTCAGTCGGGAATGGCTCTGAGGTCACCATCACAGTCCTGCCAGTGTTAATTAGCTAATTAATTATTCAGTCTTCCTTCCCCCGCCCCACCTGCAACAGGTACTTGAATCTGTGTCCTGGCAGAGGTTCCTGGGTTGGTTTTTGGTGGGATTTCTGCTGGAATGTCACTTGCACAGTTGGAATCGGGCTGGGAGCTGCCCTGGGCTCGGGGCTGAGCCCCTCCCAGCGACCCTCCAGGAGTGGAAATGGTGGAAAGACTTCTCTTCTTCCAGCCCCCTCCTCCCCGTGAAGGATTTTGGGACTGATTGGAGCGACTGAAATCGTCCTGTTTTATCTCCAGAACGCTTTTAACCCTTCCCACAGCCAAGCTGGGCAGGCTCGCCGTGGGTTTCGTTCGCTCTGCTGCTGCACAAGTTACACAACTTCTGGTTCTTCCTTTTTTTTTTTTTTTTTCGGATTTGTCTTTTTTTTCTTTTTTTTTTTTTTTTTTTTTCTTTAAATTTTTATTTTTAATTTCCTTTCTCTCTTCAAGCAGGATTTAGGAGTTTTGAACAAATCCTCTCTGCAGTTGAAACACACAGTTGCTTAATCTGCCTTGGAACTGTTTTTTCACACATGCCTTTGTTTGGGGAGCGTCTGTCCTGTGCTCGTAGAGGTTTTTGCTGTGTGGAATTTTGGTCCTTTTTCACAGATAACTGGTGCTCATCACATCCTGGTAATTCCCCTAAATTAACCCTCTGATTCTCAATCTTGGGGCTTGGGAGGGGGGGTATTTTTAAGTATTTTTTAAGTATTTTTATTTGGTTTTGATTTCTTTTTCACACCCCTCTCCCCTCCCTGTTTCCCATTCCTGAATCCCCCACCTTGAGGGGGGCTAAAATCAGAGCCCCCCACCCCCTGAGGGTGCACTGTAAATAGAATTTGGGAAAAGGTGAAAAATTAGGGATCCTGATCCCTAATTTGAGGATTTGAGGGATTTGAGGATTTTTTTTTTTTTTTTAGTCGTTCCCTTTTGTTGTGGCTGCTTTCTGCTGCCCCCGTGGTGTGGGAGGTGCCTCAAGGTGTGGAGCTGGAAAAGCCAGAACCCAAAAAAAAACCCCACTTTAAACAAAGAAAAAACAACAAAAAAAAAACCAAAATAGGGAGGACTTGGAGCTTCATTTTGTGGGCATTATTTTGGTTGCTTTTCTCTTAATAAGCACTTAAGTTTACTGCTAATTAGGAATTAAAAACCAATCGCTTTTTATTCCTGACAGTTTTTTTAAAACAAACAAACAAACAAAAAAATCTGCATTGAATCTGCAACTTTGGTAAGTTTGCCCTTCTCCTTTTGGGAGTTGTTTTATCTCAAAATCATCTATTTATAAAAACAAAACTAAATAAATGAAGAGGAGAAAAAAAGAAATAAAAATGGGGGGAGGAGGAGAGCAGGAGGTGGTTGAACACCACAAATCAAACCCAGAGAAAAAGGGGAGGTGAGGATGGCAAAAATCTCCTTCCCTGAATTCTGGAATAAAAGAATAAAAAATCCAAACCCAGGGGGAATTCCTGCAGAAATCCTTACAGAATTCTGCCAAAAAAAAAAAAAAAAAAGGGCTTGAGAGCAGGGAATATTTTCCTTTTCCAGGCTGGGGTGAAATTTGGCTGTTTCAGGGGAGCCCCACAAGGATTTTTCCCTTCAGCACTGCCCCGTTGCCATCTCGTGTATTAAAAGTGATTTAAATGCAATTTTCTCACCTGATGCAACCCCAGGAATGGAACTTTGTTTAACAGAAGTTGTTTTTTTTGTATATTGTTTACATTTGGAGAAGTAGCATTACCTTAAAAATGCTAATTTTTGTTTCTAGACAGTATTTTTATTACCAGGACGAGAAGTGAAACTGCAAATGTTTGATTTGTTTTTAAAAGGGATTTTTTTTGTTGTTCTTTTTCTTTGTTTTGTTTTATTTTTTTTTTTCCTTTTAAATCTCGTTTTAGGTCACTTTTTTAACTCAAGTATTTAAAAAAAAATGAAAACCCAGCCCTTTCAATTCTGTTTTTCCAACTGCTTGTGCTAATTCCTTGTTTTTGGTGTGGATTTAGTTATTCCCGTCCTCAGCAGGGACTGACAGGATTTCCAGCAGAATTCAGGAATTTTTTTTGGCAAAAAAACAAAACAAAAAAAAGCAAAATTTGCTGCAGTGGAATTCCAAACAATCAGTGAGCAGCAGCTCTCCCTGATCTGATCTAAATTCCCAAAATCTGCTGGGAGCTGGGAATTTCCTGCTGGGAATTTCCCTGTCGGGAGATCCCAGGGGGAGAGGGGAGAGGGGGCAGCTCTGGGCAATGAAGTGCAATAAATCCACTGCAATCAGTGAAATCTCATCCAGGAAATCCATGGAATGGGATCCCACTGGGATCTGGGAACATCCCCGGGACGTCCCTCTGGAATTCGGGAGAATCCCTCAGAATTCCCTTTGGAATTTGGGAGAATCCTCAGGAATTCCCTCCGGAATTTGGGAGAATCCTCAGGAATTCCCTTTGGAATTTGGGAGAATCCCCAGGAATTCCCTTTGGAATTTGGGAGAATCCCCCAGAGTTCCTTCTGGAATTTGGGAGAATCCCCAGAGTTCCTTCTGGAATTTGGGAGAATCTCCAGGAGTTCCCTTGGGAATTTGGGAGAATCCCCAGAGTTCCTTCTGGAATTTGGGAGAATCCCCCAGAGTTCCTTCTGGAATTTGGGAGAATCCCCAGAGTTCCTTCCCTCTGGAATTTGGGAGAATTCTCAGGAGTTCCCTTGGGAATTTTGGAGAATTCCCCAGAATACTCTCTGGAATTTGGGAGAATTCCCCAGAGTTCCTTTGGGAATTTGGGAGAATCTCCAGGAATTCCCTCCAGAATTTGGGAGAATCCCCAAGAATTCCCTTTGGAATTTGGGAGAATCCCCAGAGTTCCTTCCCTCTGGAATTCAGGAGAATCCCCCAGAGTTCCTTCTGGAATTTGGGAGAATCTCCAGGAGTTCCCTTGGGAATTTGGGAGAATCCCCAGAGTTCCTTCCCTCTGGAATTCAGGAGAATCCCCCAGAGTTCCTTCTGGAATTTGGGAGAATCCTCAGGAGTTCCCTCTGGAATTTGGGAGAATCCCCAGGAGTTCCCTCCAGAATTTGGGAGAATCCTCAGGAGTTCCCTCCGGAATTTGGGGGAATCCCCAAGAATTCCCTTTGAAATTTGGGAGAATCCCCAAGAATTCTCTTTGGAATTTGGGAGAATCCCCAGGAGTTCCCTTTGAAATTTGGGAGAATCCCCAAGAATTCTCTCTGGAATTTGGGAGAATCCCCAGAGTTCCTTTGGGAATTTGGGAGAATCTCCAGGAATTCCCTCTGAGTTCCTTCTGGAATTCAGGAGAATCCCCCAGAGTTCCCTCCCTCTGGAATTTGGGAGAATCCCCAGGAATTCCCTCTGGCCTCTGCCTGTGTTTCACCCTGAGAGCCACAATCATGGAATTCATCCGGAATTCACGCCCTGGGGATGGAATTCATCCTTTGGGGATGGAAAACTGAATCACTTTCACTCTTATTTCCCTTTTTTTCTGGGGGGAGGGGAGGAAATTCCTGCTTTCCCGAGCAGAGGAACAGCAGAGGATTCCCAGCCCGGTCAGGAGGTTGTGGATATTCCCAATCCATGACTACTCTGCAGTCCTTTTTTTTTTTGGAAATTCCCTGGAATTTCACCCCCAGCTGAAGGATTTTTCCCCCCCAAAATCAAGGTGGGGGTGGTCTCCAGCCCCAAATTCCCAAATTTCCTGTTCCTGCAGAGCCCCTGCCCCTCATCCTGGCTTTTTTGGGATGGATCCCATGGATAACTGGGATCCATGAGCTCTGGATGGTTTGGTTTTGTTGTTTTTTTTCACTCAAAAACCGATTTAAAATCCCCAAAATTTAAATCCAGCTCCCACACACAGGTCACGAGGCTGGGCAGGGCTAATCAGTGCAACTGAATTTAAAAAAAAACCTTAAAAATAAAACAAATAAAAAATGTGAATAAATTAAGCTTAATCTAAAAAAATAAATTAAAAAATAAATAAAAAAAAAAACTTAAAAAAACAAATTAAGAAAAAAAAAACTTAAAAAAATGGAAAAAAAATATGGGAAAAAAAAAAAAACCATTCTAGGATTTTTCACTGCTGTTTTTTAAATAGGAATTTGAAGTCCTCTGTGCTTGTCTGTTTGCTAGGAGCAGTTTGAGACACTGTTACTGTTTTGAAATGCATGCATGTTACGAGATGAGTCTCCAACCAGAGAAAAAAAAAACCACAAAAAAACAAAAAACAACAAAATAAAATTAAAACTTTGTGTACACCTGGGCCCTCCCCGCTCTGCTCTTTGACCTGGCTGGTCCTGGAGGGAACAGGATGGGGAAAACCGGGAAAAGGATGGGATTTAAATGGGAAACTGGGGAGAATTCCCTGCCTGGGAGGGTGGGGAGGGGATGGGATGGAATTCCCAGGGGGCTGTGGCTGCTGGGAATTGTGCTAATTCCTTGGTTTTGGTGTGGATTTAGTTATTCCTGTCCTCAGCATGGACACATTGAACTGACAGGATTTCCTGAAGAATTCAGGAGCATTTCCGGAATTCAGGAGCAATTCCAGAATTCAGGAGCATTTCCAGAATTCAAGATAATTTCCAGAATTCGGGAGCAATTCCAGAATTCAGGAGCAATTCCAGAATTCAGGAGCATTTCCAGAATTCAGGATAATTTCCAGAATTCAGGAGCATTTCTGGAATTCAGGATAATTTCCGGAATTCAGGAGCAATTCCAGAATTCAGGAGCGTTTCCAGAATTCAGGAGCATTTCCGGAATTCAGGAGCATTTCCAGAATTCAGGATGATCTCCAGAATTCAGGATAATTTCCAGAATTCAGGAGCATTTCCAGAATTCAGGAGCATTTCCAGAATTCAGGATCATTTCCGGAATTCAGGAGCAATTCCAGAATTCAGGATAATTTCCAGAATTCAGGAGCATTTCTGGAATTCAGGAGCATTTCCAGAATTCAAGATAATTTCCAGAATTCAGGAGCATTTCCAGAATTCAGGATAATTTCCAGAATTCAGGAGCAATTCCAGAATTCAGGAGCATTTCCAGAATTCAGGAGCAATTCCAGAATTCAGGAGCAATTCCAGAATTCAGGAGCATTTCCGGAATTCAGGAGCATTTCCAGAATTCAGGATAATTTCCAGAATTCAGGATAATTTCCAGAATTCAGGATCATTCCCATCCCTGGAAATGCTTTGGAGCAGCCTCCAGTGGGAGGTGGCACCGGGAGCTCCCTTCCCAACCAACCCATTCCAGGATTCCACAGCCGGAGCTGCCTCTTCCCGTGTGGTTTTTTCCCAGTTTTTCCCAGTGCTGGCTGTCAGAAGCTGGGATCTGGCAGGAAAAGCCATTCCTGGGCTGCACCCCGTGCCGGGAATGGCTCGGGGGGCTCCCACCCCCTCGTGGTGCCGCAGGGTCAGGGGCTCAGAGCCAGCCAGAGGCGAGTGCAGGGCAGAGTTTTATTGGAAAAAGTCCCGAGTGGCCCCGAGCGGCTGTGCTGGGCTAATCCATGCGAGCCTTCAGCGTCCTCGTGGTGATCTTGTCTTTCTCTCTGCAGGGGGAAAGGGAGGAGATTGATTATTGATCATTGATCGATGAACTCGGCTTTAAACCCCCCCTGAGCTCGGCTGGGTTTTTGAACCCAGAATTCCGGGCAGTTCCCAGGCTCGGGATGCTGCAGGAAGAAAATTGGGATTTGTTTTTAAAGCAGCCAGGTGACAGAGCTGGGAGTTAATGCTGCATCCGTGTGGGGCAGAGCCTCCTCATTCCCGTGGGAATGCAGGCTGGGAATCCCTGAGTGAGACACAAACTCCAGGATTCCATCCTCATCCCGTGGGAATGCAGCCTGGGAATTCCTGAGCTGGATTCAAACTCCAGGATTCCATCCTCATCCCGTGGGAATGCAGGCTGGGAATCCCTGAGTGAGACACAAACTCCAGGATTCCATCCTCATCCCATGGGAATGCAGCCCAGGAATTCCTGAGTGGGATTCAAACTCCAGGATTCCATCCTCATCCCATGGGAATGCAGCCCAGGAATTCCTGAGTGGGATTCAAACTCCAGGATTCCATCCTCATCCCGTGGGAATGCAGCCCAGGAATTCCTGAGTGGGATTCAAACTCCAGGATTCCATCCTCATCCCATGGGAATGCAGCCCAGGAATTCCTGAGTGGGATTCAAACTCCAGGATTCCATCCTCATCCCGTGGGAATGCAG